GGGGGGGGGGGAATAGAACCCATGGTGTAACAGTTAGAAAAAAATATACCTCATTGTCCTACATAGAGGTAGTTATTATTTCACAGATGAGTCGTTATTTAGTTTTGTGAAACTCACTTGTTTATTTGTTCACTTATTAGTGGATAGTCATACCACGTGACATTGCTAATATGATATAACCGTTACATTTAATATTTTCTCGGAGCGGGAAGAGTCATTCAAATATCACCATATACTAAAGACATAACAATCATTGAAGAAGGATGTTCTGACCATTTTATTGCTGAAATTTCTCTAAATCTTATTTGATGACATTAATCTATAGCCACTGATCGAACAGTTCCCCAGATCTCTGCACGGGCCATATATTTGAAACAAATCTTTGACGATCATTCTGAGAAATCCTCCAGTGACCATGCTCAAGTCAAACCCAATAAAAAAACAGAAGAAAACTGAAAAATCTCAAATAGGGAAAATCTTCAAATAGCACAAGAAGCCTGAAGGCCAAAAACGTAGAAAGCCTAACCCATTAATTCCTAGCTCTTGCTCCTATGTTACCATAGTCAACCATCTCAACCATGGCTTTTTTATTCAAACCGTAAATGAACCTGATGTAGCTAATGATGGTTATAATTTCAGCATTTGTATATTTGTGATAAAGAAAACAAAGACAATGTAATTTAGTATTTAGGACCAATCGGTATTTGATTCAATGATACTCCTTACTTTGTGAAAGTTTTACTTTCTTAAAGTTAAGGATTCAAAAAAAAAATGTTACTTAGTATTTAGGAATAATTTTTTATATATGTATTTCATATTTCCAACATATATATAGGTTGCAAGATTAATCTTGATCACTCACTTCTTAGAACATTAATCATATAACATAGCCCAAGACTCAACCACTTGTATTTTCAAGTCAACTAGATACACTTAACAACTAAGTATTATCTAATATTCTATTTTTAACACTCCCCCTTAATGTTTTGTTGTTGTATCTCAATATGTCTCTTAGAAACTCGACCTTATCTTTAGGAAGTACTTTGGTAAAAATATCCATCACTTGATATTCGGTCTTGCAATATTTGACTTGAATATCTTCATCTTCCACAATTTTTCGAATAAAGTGATACCTGGTTGTAATGTGCTTAGTTCGTCTATGATAGATGAGATTCTTTGTCAAGGCAATAGCTAATTTATTATTGCATAAAATTAGAATTGTTTCACCTTACTTTTCACCAATATCATCCATGATTCTTCTTAACCAAATTGCTTAAAAAGTAGTCAATGATGCTAAAACAGATTCAACTTCAGCTGATGATTGTACCACACTTTGTTATTTTTTTAACACCCATGAAATTACACAGGAACCAAATGAGAATACATAGCCCGAAGTGCTCATCATATCGTCAATGTTTATGGCTCAATCATTATCACAAAATCCAAGTTACTTAACATCAACTTTTCTTCCAAACATAATCTCAAAATCAAGTGTTCTTTGAATATATCTCAACATTCACTTCGCTGCCCCAAAATGAATTTAGCTTGGTTTGTGCATAAACCGAGATAACTTGTAACATCCATGATATCCGGCCTTATAGTTGTCAAGTACAAAAGACTTCCAACCAAGTTTCTATAAACGATGCTTCAACTTCTTTAGTTCCATCATCTTTTAACAACTTTTCATTCACAACCAAAGGTGTAGCCACTGATTTACAATTTCTCATTGTAAATTTTTCAAAAAGAGTTTTTGCATACTTCCTTTGGCAAATAAAGACTTCATCTTCTTATTGATAAATTTCAATACTCAATAAGTAATGTAGAATTCTCAAATCACTCATTTCATATCTTGTCATCATCTCACTTTTAAAATCTTCGATCATTTTTTTATCATTCCCGATAAAAACCCAAGTCATCAACATAAAGTGACATAATGAGAATAACGGTATTACCTTGCGTTTTTTATGTACAAGGTTGACTCACTTTTCCTTCTTTGATATCCATCTGCACTAAAGTATGAATCAATCTCACTATACCACGCTCGAGGTGCTTGTTTCTGTCCGAACAAAGCCTTTTTTAACTTGTACATTTTTCCTTCTTTACCGTGGACGTGTCTGGTACAGTCAATCTATTCTTAGACTAAGTTTCATTCTTTGGATTGCAATTAGGAAAAGGCTCAAAACAAAGGACAAAATTCATGTTTATGCCTCTCACCAAGATCTGGAGTGTGTTTTATGTGGTGTAGGAATTGAGTCTCATTTTCACCTATTATTTGAGTGCCAACATTCTCAGAGAGTCTGAGACTTACTTTACCCAAAATTTTAACTTCTCTTGGCATTGCATGCCTTGGACTAATTTTTTCTCATGGGTTGCACATCACTGGAAAGGGGAAGTCATTATTCACAGTCCTTCAAAAGTTGTCTCTCAGCTGCTGTCTACTATCTATGGATGGAAAGAAACAACATAATTTTCGCTAACAAGGCAAAGGATCTAAACACTATCTTCAAAGCCACACCGCAAATTTTAAGGGACAAACTTGCATCTCTGAAATTCAAAAGCTCTCAACTAAATCTTGTCATTTCTGACAAATTACAACTCCTAAGCAACTGTATTGTGTAGCTTCCAAGTTTCATTGCAGTGTTTTTGCTTCCTTTAGTGTGGAAACTTTCTTTGACAAATCTGTCTTGGGTGTAGCTATTTGCTCACATCTCCAACAAATTTGTTTTTATATACTTTGTAATACCATGGGGATGCCCCTGCTTTTGTATCTCCTTTGATATGCAATACACCTTTACTTTCCGGAAAAATATCCACAAATATGGTAAATCACTCATTAAAGGGATAATTTTTTTTGTTGTAAAATTACCTCACATAAATTATAAAAACACTAATTAAAGTAGTAAAATTTAGAGGTACAATACTGAAATTTTTTCCACAATACCGTAGTCAAATTCATAATTCATAAGATAGGAAAGGATGTAAGGGAAAAAAATAGTACATCAAGAGACTTTTATGCATTGTATAGGTTTCTTAGGTGTTGTGTTCCACGCGGAACTGTCTGTGACAATAACATCCAAAGATTGCTTTTATTTGTTGAAGTTATTCACACTTCTTCTACGTACATGCCGATGCATGCAGGTANTAACATCCAAAGATTGCTTTTATTTGTTGAAGTTATTCACACTTCTTCTACGTACATCCTGATGCATGCAGGTACAAGTAAAGAGAATAGAGTATACATCTCAACTTTCTCATTCACGTGTGTGGAATTCCACAAATGTCATATACCAGTGTAGGGGATGTAACTCCACAAACATCGACAGCAACAAAATCGGGAGTCCTGCTTAAACACAGAGAGTCATGTGACCTAGCTATGACACCAAAGTAAGGCTTTAACTCAAAACCAATGAGTAACGAGTGGAGAGATTCATAAGACTCATTTGGTATCCCGGAACGGCGTTGAGCTATGCGGTGATGATAACTCGGATAATGACTCGAGATTGACCTGGAGATGTCTCCGGCCATTAGGCCAAGTCGCATGAGACTTATGGTTTGCAAGAAACGTGGAATGATCTAATGTCATGTGGGAAGCCGCTCAGTTGGTGTTAAATTCATTGAAAACTATGTTGGATAAGTATAAGGAATCAATGATACTATTTGAACTTGATTTATTGATTTTATTTATTAGCGTAATTTATCACCTCGTTTGATTTATATCAACTCCCAAACAACATTGAGACTCACTCACTTTAAATTCGATTGTAGTGATTAATTAGATTAATAAATTAAGTTCGGATAGTATTACTCATAAATAATTTCACCTGCAATGAGTTAAGAAAACAGAACTTTGATTCTTTTATGCATCATAAAATTGTACAAATAACCTCACGATGTCTTCTTTCTGAGGCTATTGAATTCATTTGTTGGCTTCAGTTTTAATAGAATCCACTTCAAAAAGATACAAAAGGCTGTCATGTTAATCCTACCTATAACTATGTTGTTATCAAGTATAAACTATAATGTCCTTTGAGTCTGACCCAAGTTCACCATATTGATCGCTGCATTTCTCAATGTAATCGTGTTGAAGTTTTGGGCACTCAAGATGAAATCCTTTGCTCTGTTGAGAAAATCTATGCCCTTCCTTTGAATCTCAAACGCCTTGGGACATCTAAGAAAGCTAATATAGTCTTCCAAATCATGAACACAAGAAGGGTTTTGCATCTTGAAGAAATCAAAGGCTAGTTCAACTCCGACATGAGCATAACAAGAGCAACTCCAAGGGAACTCAAAACTACCTCCAAAACCCTTGAAATTTTCATTCAAGAAAAACCCAGGAAGCTTTGTTATGGGATCATTAACATTCACTATTCTCAGAACTTTTAGGCCCAATTCCTCACATCTTTCCTTGAAGCGTGAATTCCCAACTCTAGGCCCTCCAAAGGAAAAAACAGTGATCGGTATTTGGCAGTCAGAATCGTCTCTGTTCAATCCAAGCTCTGCAATATCATAAGCTAGTAGGAGTGCCAACGAGCTCCCCATGCTATGACCTGCCAAAGTTATGCTCATTTCCTCGCCTTTGTACTTGTTTAATAACCGAGACACTTCGGAAAGAAGCTGTTCCCGGCAGCTTCCGAGCCCAAATTTACTGCCACTCTCATCAGAAGTGTACAAGCATAGAAACCCAGCTGCTACCTGCTTGTTCACAAAGTGAAAGTCGCTTAATACTGAATTTACATTTAAATCTGACAAGTCAAGTGACTCGAGTGTCGTTATGTTATGAATAAATCTTGAAAAATCACTATAGTTATCCAAAGAATTTACATTTGTGGGTGTAATTATTACCTTGACATCAGGCCGAGGGTTATGTGGATCGAGCCGTGCAGGAGTCAATGAGCTCATTAGGTTTGCAATCCATTCAGGGTTTGTAACTGTTCCTCTGAATGTTATCACTATATCTCTCCTTCCAATCCTCTTTGCTTCATCATCCGATGATACTGCAACATATCCAATCCAACGGCCACAGGAGACAATATTTTGCATTGGAATGTTGATGTCTGGAGTGGCATAGATGTACTTGGTGACTTCATAATCCGAATCTCCCAAACCAACTTCTTTTAAAATTCTCTTCTTCCCAAATTTGCAACTTAGGAAGCGTTTTGAGGATGGGTTTAGATCGAATGCCTTGTAACAGGCGGCAACGAACTCGCCATACCGGATGATTTCTTGCTGGAGAAGAGGATCCAAGGGTTCCATTAGATTTTCCCAGTTGTTTAAGCCTTGAACCTCCCTCCAACAACGAGCCAAAATAGGACTGGTTTTGGAAAACTTAGCAGAAACTGGGTGTTTGGGTGAAGAAATCTCACTCATTTTCATCAATGTTACTTGCCCAAAAGAACACTTTCGTAGCATAGAATCAGTTGAAAATGAGACAAGGTTTATATTTGGCTTGTGCATGTTTAACGCAGTGGAAGCCATGGAGAGAGAAATTGAGAGAGACGAAGAGGAGGAGCATGGTGAATGAGCAGAGACAGTGGGGACTTATATGCATGGAGAGAGAGAGAGAGAGAGCTTCCCTGTGAATGTTTATTGTGGGGGTGACAGGGAGAGAAAAGAAATAGATAAAGAAGAAAAAGCATGTTTGGCGAGGATTTGACTGTGATTTTGAAAATTCTATGGGTTTGATTTTATGTGGTCGGTTGGGTTTAAGTCGTTCATATTATATTAATTTCTGTTGCGGCCATGATGAAAACTAGCGGGAACATGCTTGTTTTTCAAGTGGTTGACTTTGTTGGTAATTTACAGTATTTAGTGTTACATACTTGTTTGCGGTATTAACTTTACATACATTTTCAACTGATGACTTCAAAGCTTTAATTCATACTTGACATACAATTAAATATTTTTATTTTTTTATCTCAAAATCTATCAAAAGAATATATATACTTAATTTCTAGCAAGACAAAAGAGAAAAGTAAGAAGTTTAGTTTTAGAGAAAAAGATATAAAATATATGTACTAGTATTAAGCCATTAATTCATACTTGGCAGAATTTGCTGAAGTTAAGTGGGACTATTAAGCCACTAATGGTCCACAAAATTGGCAATGGTGAAGGTCCACTAATGTATCCTTTGCAGAGCGGCAGATGAAACACATCTTTGAGTGCACTTATTTATCAAGAGTTTGGAACAATATTATGCTCGCTAGTAGGTTTGTCCCAAGCCATGGAATGAACTTATTGAATGGACTACTATCAATTGGAAGGGGAAATCAATACAAAATTTGATACATAAAATTTGCTTGGTAGCCTCAGTCTACTATGTTTGGATGGAAAGGAATTTCAGAAGATTTCGGCACTAATATAGAGACCTAAATACTCTAAGCCATCTAATCCAACTTGTTATAAGGAACAAAGTGTCGACTTTGAAATTCAAGGCTTCCACCAGCAACCTGCTTACAAGCCAATTATGGAACCTTCGTTCTTCTTGTTTCTTTTAGTTCATGTGATCATATCACAGAAGTATAACACTATATAATGATTATGACCCCTATAATATTTTTTTTTCTATTTTGGGAAATGTTAAATCATTATTATTTGCTTTTATTATCTATTGTTGTCTTTGGATTTAAAGTGAGGACTATGAAATAAGGTACAAATTTGATTATTAAAATGAATTTCTCAAACAAATTAAGTCCAAAAAATATTATTATACTATATTGAAATATACCAAACATGTCATGGCATGTCCAAGTGTTATTTAGATTAACATCCCCTTTCAAGTAAAAATCACGTAATGTTCTCACTATTATAAAAAAAAAATTATAAATAATATATTTCATATTTAATTTGGTATCGATTAATAACTTTTTTTCGAGTAATTTGGTTACTTTTTAGCTTTTTTGAAGCACTTTTTTGAAGTGACATTTAGTAAAAAGAATTCTTCAAACAGTAAGGTTTATCGTCTTATGGATTTTTCTAAGTATTTTTATTTTTATTTTTCAACTATTTCTTTATGTAGGAATTGTTTTGTTTATTTTTCTTTTGCTTTATTTGTATCCGGACTTACTCTTTTCATCCGAGCTAATATTGTGTGCATAATGGCATATTATACACAAGTGCAAATATATTATTTACTTGACTATCAAAAAAAAAATGTATATTATGTACTTAATAAGATATATATCGTGTGTATATATATGAATTTGATATATTTGCTTTTTATATAAAATAATTTTTAAATTTTATCAAAAACTCTATAAAGCTAAAATTCTAGTCAATTGCTTCTTTTTAGTACGTGGGAACGCATATAACTAAAGTTTTAGTCAATCCTTAGGGGGTTTGGTAATTGAATTTAATGTCTAGTAATATAGAAACTTCAGATTTAATTCTTTCTCACACTCTTAATAATTAGTCATACTTGTTTTTCAATGACATACTTTAATACAACTCAAACTATAGTGACAACGGTTATGTTTGAGGAAGTAATCGATACAAATCTATATACCTTATAATGAAAAAAACTAAAGTTCTAGTCCATGAATATGTCCATTGTAATATTGAATGCAACCGGTGGTAGCATGTCACCATTGATGACATAGTATTACCAATCAATAATAAAATCTCAAATGAGAAAGGTGAATCTCATTTAAGCTTATATATTAAGTTAATTATTGATTTTTGTAGAATTCATGTGTTTATTTATTTTATTATTATTAATTAATGACATTAAATTATTTTATTACATGTATCACCATTGTAATGAATATTTTCCCCCGTCACGAGAGAGAGAAAGAGAGATATGTTATTGCGCCAACAATTTCTTAAAAGCCCAGAAAGTCTTAGAATTTGCTAGGATACCCCTCTTGTTCAAGGTAATCATACTGGGGTGGGGTAGGATTACTCTGTCTGGGACACGTGGTAAATGAATTCAACGCCGTGAGTAATTTCTTCTGCTTCAATGTCCGGGTGCACACCACAATCTTTGTTTGTCGTATGTGTGTGACAAGTGGCCACATTCACAACACGTGCTCTTAATAATAATAGTAATATTAGATTGACTAAATTTTGAGATCAAATTTATAGCCTAAATGACGTGACAGTTGACTTGGGCTTTTTTTATTGGTGTGATGTCATTTGGGCCCCAATAAAAACTTTCNTGCTCTTAATAATAATAGTAATATTAGATTGACTAAATTTTGAGATCAAATTTATAGTCTAAATGACGTGACAGTTGACTTGGGCTTTTTTTATTGGTGTGATGTCATTTGGGCCCCAATAAAAACTTTCAATAATCAACTGTCATGTCATTTAGACTCTAAATTTAATCCCAAAATTTGATCAGTGTAACATTACTCTAATAATATTTGTGGGTTAGCATAGGCTAATTAAATACTATTTGAATCTAATAATTTGAATTAATTATATTAAGTTGGAATGGACCAATAATATTGTAATAATTGCAATTATTTGACTTCAACCCCCCGCCCCTTCCCCCATTCCCACTCCCACCCCAAAAAAAATGTAGTAAGTTTCATTACAAACAATGATAACTCTAACCTAAAAAATAGTAGTAAATCAAAAAAGTGCAAAAAAATATTAAATAGACTTAAAAATTTGACTTAATGAATAAATATCATTAAATAGTTAATGGGTCTTAATAAGTACTACCATTCATAGTTAAATCAATAACAAATACAATAATCATATCATCATGTCAAATTTTTATACTATTCTATACTATTTTAAAATGTCTACATATCTGAAAGATATTTTTCTTCACATTTACCCTCCAACAATGTAAACATGATTTTCTTATCCTTCAAAAATTAATTACGTATTAAATCTCAATTATCACCTCTCCTCTGAACCTACTGGATTCACAATCTTACTGCCCTTACAATTCATCTCTCTCGCTCTCTTTGACGCATTCAATACTCGATAAAAAATAATCAAACACTCCCCTCTTTTCATCTTCCCACTCTCACTCATTCTCTTTAATTCTCTTAGTGACAAAACTAACACATCTCTCCCTCTCTCTCTCTCTCGTATTTAATACTCAATAAAAAATAAATAGACACTCCCCTCTTTTCATCTTCCTAACTCTCCCTTAGTCTCTCTTTAATTCTCTCTTAGTGACTATAGATTTCTAGGTTTCTCTCTACTGTGTAAGACGAGCCAACAGACGACTTACCATCAATACAAGCCTCGGTCGCTTCATCTTTCCCTATACCAATTACGGTTCAAAATATTTCTATTTTTTAAAATTATTCTCAGAGTGTTTGTTGAATTTTTTGTTTGTATATCAACTCTTGGTTCTACAACACATTTCCCATGGTTTTCCCTACTTCATTATTTTGGAAATGTGTTGCTTGCATTCTGTCACTTTATTCTATGTCCCTTTTCATTATTGTTATCCATAGTTGGATGATGATATTTTGTCTCTTTTCTGTAGTTTGTTCTAATCAATTTATTAATAGGTTCATTTTATTTAACAAGTTAATTATTCGTTATTTGACAAAATTACTTGACCACATGTACGAGTTCAAGGTTTTAGCAATGTTCTACAAGCCGCTTTGTTCTTTACAATAATTGCAATCAGTTGACAATCGCAACTAAAGTTGTGGCCGTAATAGATTTTCAAAAATATCACAATTTTCATTAAGCATTCATTATAAGCACCATGAGTGTGTTGTGTGAAGAGTTTGATTGTTTGTTGACTTTCAAAACACAAGTCTTTGTTTTCACTTATTAAACCCATATCATAACTTGTAACACTCCGCATTTTATTTTATATATATGCATATAGATATATATTAAATAATTGTTGTAAAAATGGGGATAGGTGTAGTGATGTGTGTTTGAATTTGGTAGATTGGAAATGGAAAAAATGATGAAATAGTGAACAGTGCACGTGAACTGTGCACTGGCTGCAACTTCAAGCCCAATTTAGACCTTGATGCAGTCAATATCTCTTAAAACTCAAAACATGAAAGTTGTAGAGTTCTTTCATAGCTTTCCATATCATCTTGAATCATCTCAATCGGAGCTCGGATGAGAGAGTTATGCCCCGATAACGAAGTAATACCGAAGCAGCCCATGAACAGTAAAGAAAAAAAAAATCGGGATTTCTGTGTTTAAAAACACAGATTTCAGCCTTTACTCTCATTTCTCTCATTCCACTCTCAACCCACTTCTCTTAGGACTCTAGAGGAAGAGAGAAGGATAAAACACAAGATCAAGAGGAGATCTATACTTCAAAGAAGATCAAATCTTCATCTTCTTCACACTAAACCTAGGTTTTTAAGAACATTGAGGTAGGGTTTTCTTCCATCCTTGTCCATTGATGTTAGGGTTATTATACATGTAGAATTTGGCTCTTAATAGTAT